TGGAATAAGAACCTCCATCTTCAACAGCTGCAACGATGCTACTGTGAGAACGCGGGAAGTACCGTTAGTGCATGCGCCATGCTACGTCATTGCTCTATCACGTACGCATAGTCGCTTCGCGCAATATAAGGTTTGCTAGCTGTGGGACGAGTGGGAAACTTACTTTGTGGACGCGCCTCGTACATATTTTTATCTGTCCAAATGTATATTCTTAACTTGTTGCACCGTACCGTGTCTCCTGACTATTTTATTGTTTTTCTTTAAATATTTTACATTTACATTTTACATTTGTTTTCCCCTGCAGGACAGCAAAGCAAGTTTGACGTTTGTGTTTGATAGTGTTAAGAAGAACACTGTTGCTTCCCATACAACTGGAAGTTTCACCCAGATCCAATATCAAGAATCTCTTATGAAATGTAGAAATGCAAGTGATAATATATTCAGTTTATATAGAGACATGGTCAAGAAATATGCATCAAGAATATAATTCTGTGTTTCTAGTTTGTGCAGAACATAACAGGTGTAGAAGTAACTACCTTTTTACAGTTTACTTACCAAAGGTTTTCACATTTGGTGGAAATGTTTTCCAGACTATTTAATGTTTATGAACGGTACACTCATACTACTTTATGTTGAAGCATTCCAGCGTGTTTTGTGTTTCCAGCAGTTGACAATAAATCCAACTACAGTTGTTTGTGTAGATGGATTTGTTATCAGTCGCTGGGAATAGCCATACATTCTGATGATTCATATTTGAATATAATACTAAATTACAGTCCATATGAAGTTTCATATCATGTGCAAACAGAGAAAACCATTGTTTTCAAAGTTACTGGATGTGTATTTAATTTTCATGCTTCTTTGACAGATATTTGTGTAACAATGTTCTTGTTTTCATCTTCAATTTTGATTGGTAGATTTGGGTGTGATGTGAAGTGTAGTGGAATACAACTCCATTGTTCTGCAACTGAGCTAAAGGGTGTAATTGCAAATGTTGTATGGAAACTGTGAATTTGGGAAGACAAGAATTTTAAGATTGACCTTATGGAGATACTTTATAGGGATCTGAAGTGGCTCAGGATCATGTCAGGGCTTTGATATTAGAAATATCGAACCTTTGGGTTTTGTTAATGTGGTGCTTAGGGATTTGATTGAATACACACTCTAGTTCCTCATAAAAGCTCTTGTTTTTATCATGATTATTTTCAGTTGGTGCACGCATACCCAGAACAGTGAACTCTTAGTATTGTGTATGGTAGACTATCACCAACAAACTGTATCCTCTTAATCATTGGTGTGGTACACTTACATGCAAAAAAGCCTGCCCGTAAGTGATCATCAGTATTCTTATTTCCATAGAAGAATGCAAAATTATCAGTGCCACCCTCGTCCCATCTGACTTCCTGTACTCAGCAAAATATCTTATATTTTGCTAATTCAAAGAACCTAACATTCAGGGTTCCAAATCTTGTCCATTTTCTGTGCTTAGGGCATCCCAAAGAATCTATCCAAGGCCCTGTGTAACATTCCATAAAATTCTATAAAATTACAGTTTTTTATGGTGTGGAGTTGTTAGCCCCTGCCTAACCCCCAAGATGGAGGACCACCCTTTGTGGGTTGTGCACGACTGTTTATTCAGTATATTGACAGCTACATTTATACCTAAAGGCCTTCTTCTTCATCCACAACCTGTAGATATGCCATAACATTGTGATAAGGAACCCACTTAACATGTTTTTGTTAGTACTGTCAAATAAAAATACTGCAGTTGAAGTTATTTTAATGGGAGAATAAAATTGGTTCTTAAAATTTTTTAACATTGGATAGTTTTCTTGTAATGAAGCATTTTGATAGATAACATAATCTTGAGATAACTAACATCATGGAGCTTGAAAAGCTAGTTAATCAAGAAATTCCCGCTTTTATGGAACTCAATGTTCTTTACCATGTTCACAAGGGCCTGCCACAAGTCTCTATCCAGAGCCATATGAGTGAAATCCACATCCTCAAACTCTATTTCTGCAAAGTCAATTTTAATACCATCCTGTCTACATCTAGGTCTTCCAAGTGAGCTCTTACCTTCCATGTCATAATTGGAAAAGTAATAATCATGTTTAAAAACTCTGTACAGGTAGTCTGGTTTAAGACTGTGCCATGAACTTTTCATTGCAAAGCCACCAGTCTCTACAACTAATTTTATGATTGTATGCCATAAAACAATTCTGTGTGTATTTTCAATTTCATTCAATTCTTACCCAGTAACATGATTTAATATGACGAGAAAAGATAATGGTAATAAAACTACAGATTTCTACAGTATATGATTTATATTATTTCTGCATCTTTTTCGTAATATTTTTGTATCATTAATATGGCCTGCAAATCGACGACATTAAATATTAATTTTAATACAGTTTCTTTTGTTTGTTGTTAGCAACTGGAGAATGCAGTGTAAAAAAATGATGAACTGTTCAAGTTGTAAGCATAACAAATCTTAAAGACCTACATAACAGAAGTAAGAAAGATTAGTTTCTTGCATATTATGATATACTGTACTGTAGATAAGTCATATGAAGAGAATCTATCTTCAGTCTTCACACTTATTTCATGTGTAAATGAGTAGTCAGCAAAAATTAACATATGACATCATGAGCAGCAAAACACACAGGACTTGATATAAGCCACACATGGTGTGTAATTTATCTTACATAAGTTAACAAGAAAAATTATACATATACGAGGTGCGATCGGAAAGTTTCAAGACTGTGTCAATAGAGGGCGAACCGGATGTAGTACGAGCTGCTGCCGCTAGGGGGTGCGGCCTACATTCATAATGAATCAGTGTGCCAGCCGGCATCATCGAATTAGCATTTGTTTCTTAGTTACGGGCGTTTTGGTAGTGCATTACACTGACCCTCCTGCGATTTCGGAATGGCGGATTTTCATGAACAAATCAAATTTTGCCAAAGACTCGCCAAAATGGCTACGGAAACCTATGAAATGCTAAAGCAAGCATTTGGGGAGTCCGCAATGGGTCGTGCACAAACTTTTGTGTGGCATTCACGTTTTAAAAATGGCCGAACCTCTGTCGAAGATGACGAGCGTTCTGGACGACCATCTTCGAGCACAACCCCCGAAAATGTTACGAAGATCGACGTCGTACCATCAACGACTTGTGCGACATTGCTGGGATAGGCTATGGGACCTGTCAGCTGATTCTAAAGGAAGAACTCCACAGGCGACGCATCCTGTCTGAGGACCAGAAGCAGAATCGACTTCTCGTTTGTCAGGAACTCAAAGATCTTGCAAGAACCGACCCCAACTTCCTTTCTAAGCTCCATGTGACTTCTTCCTCTTCCCAAAGATGAAAATTCAGCTAAAGGGAAGGAGATTTGAGACGATAGAAGAGATTCAGGCAGAATCGCAGATGGTGCTTGACAGGCTGACAAAGAAAGATTTCCAGGGATGCTTCCAGGCTTGGCAGCGGCGCTGGGATCGTTGTGTTCACTCCCAGGGGAACTACTTCGAGGGTGATGGATGAATTTAATACATGAGATAAGTGTACGGGTTTTTATACGAGTAGTCTGGAAACTTTCCGATCGCACCTCGTAGAATCTCTTCAAATACGTGGTTCACTTTAGTATTTGCCTAAATATTTTGACCCTATCAAAGGTCCTCACTTTTCAGAATACGTTCAAAGCTGCTTGCATAAGTACTTATATATATTTGTGTTCTTTGAACGACTTGCTATCATTGCCTACCGCTAATCCGCGTGTTGTACAACAAAATCTGGAGGAAGTGTTGATATGATATGGGACATTCCAGACATTATAGTAGCAAGAGTAAACAGATTTTATTTGAGCTGACAATTTGTTAGAGGAAGTAGTGGTCTCTGATGCAGCAGTAAAAAACCAGTGAGAGAGAGAACATGTTATTAAGCAGGAAGTTAGGGGATTCCCAGTATGAGATAAGTTTCTCACTTCCTCTCTAGTCTGCAAAGTGCATGCTAAGACTAAAGGAGGAGAAGTTCTGACTTTTCTTATTTACACATGGTCCGTTAAAGCCACTCCCAGCAAATTGAGACAGAAGAAAACAGTATTCATTTCAGGTGAAATGTGCAGTATTTTAAACACACATTATAGTAACAACTGAAGAACAGACTGTGAATTGAAAGGAGTGTGTGTGCTTACATCTGAAGTGGATAGCAAAATAACAAAAATGAGTTCTTCATTTCAAGATTCATCACCATATTATGATTATAATGAGAGTTCTGCTTTTAATACTGAGTCAATATTTCCATCCTCAGATTCTGTATCATCAAGTAACAATGCTACAATGTTTTTGATTGGGTCAACATTAACAAGCTTTATAGGTGAGGTGAATGTGAACATATTCCCAACAGAAGATTCATCAGTAAACTACACAAGAGTGGCAGGTGCCAACATACAGTTTCGGCTGTATGATTACCTCATCCCCACTATTGGAGGAATTGTACTGCTGCTCAACTTAGCTGTGGTGGTATCTTCAGGGCTGATTCTGAGAGGGGGAGGTCAGCCACGGACTACTTATCTGTTCCTTGGAAATGTGGCAATGGCAGATCTGGTGACCAGTGTAGCTATGCTGTTTGGACAGCTGTATCCAAGAGAACACAGGAATGAACTGATGTGCATGTTGCAAATAGGTATGTTGGTTTTACTTCTATTGTACAGCACAGTTTAAAAGTAATTTCAGAAAGTAACAAATTTTATCTGCTTAAAAGTAATTCCTTATTATTAATTTTAATACATGGATATTAAGTAAAATGTGTTTAATTTATATTTATTTAATATCATTTTAATTGTGTGCATGCTACTGTTTACTTTCAATTAAAACCTGATAGTGAAAGATTACTCAAGTAAAGCAGTGTCAAACATCTCACTAATGTCTTAACTTTTCTTAAAGTTGTTGAGTAATATGTGAACCTGTTTGCAATAGTAGACACAATTTAATAATATTCTTTAAAAATGTACATGGTGTTTCAATAAACTGTCCTCATTTAAGACCATGCAGCCCGTGAGTTGATAAGCAAGGGTGATTGTGGCCCCTTGTCTAAAAAAGCTTTAAAATCCATGTATAAGTTAGTGTATTGTCATTTAATTATTTTAAATGAGATTAGAAATGCATGTATAATTTCAGCTGAGGATCTTGAAGGGTATAGACCAGTGGTATTCAACCTGGGGTATGCGAAGACATCTTAAAGGGTACGTGAAATTTAAAAAAAAAAAAAAATATAGGCGCAGTCTGGAAACTTTCCGATCGCACCTCGTATATCTGTGCTGGAGGAAGTGTTGATATGATATGGGACATTCCAGACATTATAGTAGCAAGAGTAAACAGATTTTATTTGAGCTGACAATTTGTTAGAGGAAGTAGTGGTCTCTGATGCAGCAGTAAAAAACCAGTGAGAGAGAGAACATGTTATTAAGCAGGAAGTTAGGGGATTCCCAGTATGAGATAAGTTTCTCACTTCCTCTCTAGTCTGCAAAGTGCATGCTAAGACTAAAGGAGGAGAAGTTCTGACTTTTCTTATTTACACATGGTCCGTTAAAGCCACTCCCAGCAAATTGAGACAGAAGAAAACAGTATTCATTTCAGGTGAAATGTGCAGTATTTTAAACACACATTATAGTAACAACTGAAGAACAGACTGTGAATTGAAAGGAGTGTGTGTGCTTACATCTGAAGTGGATAGCAAAATAACAAAAATGAGTTCTTCATTTCAAGATTCATCACCATATTATGATTATAATGAGAGTTCTGCTTTTAATACTGAGTCAATATTTCCATCCTCAGATTCTGTATCATCAAGTAACAATGCTACAATGTTTTTGATTGGGTCAACATTAACAAGCTTTATAGGTGAGGTGAATGTGAACATATTCCCAACAGAAGATTCATCAGTAAACTACACAAGAGTGGCAGGTGCCAACATACAGTTTCGGCTGTATGATTACCTCATCCCCACTATTGGAGGAATTGTACTGCTGCTCAACTTAGCTGTGGTGGTATCTTCAGGGCTGATTCTGAGAGGGGGAGGTCAGCCACGGACTACTTATCTGTTCCTTGGAAATGTGGCAATGGCAGATCTGGTGACCAGTGTAGCTATGCTGTTTGGACAGCTGTATCCAAGAGAACACAGGAATGAACTGATGTGCATGTTGCAAATAGGTATGTTGGTTTTACTTCTATTGTACAGCACAGTTTAAAAGTAATTTCAGAAAGTAACAAATTTTATCTGCTTAAAAGTAATTCCTTATTATTAATTTTAATACATGGATATTAAGTAAAATGTGTTTAATTTATATTTATTTAATATCATTTTAATTGTGTGCATGCTACTGTTTACTTTCAATTAAAACCTGATAGTGAAAGATTACTCAAGTAAAGCAGTGTCAAACATCTCACTAATGTCTTAACTTTTCTTAAAGTTGTTGAGTAATATGTGAACCTGTTTGCAATAGTAGACACAATTTAATAATATTCTTTAAAAATGTACATGGTGTTTCAATAAACTGTCCTCATTTAAGACCATGCAGCCCGTGAGTTGATAAGCAAGGGTGATTGTGGCCCCTTGTCTAAAAAAGCTTTAAAATCCATGTATAAGTTAGTGTATTGTCATTTAATTATTTTAAATGAGATTAGAAATGCATGTATAATTTCAGCTGAGGATCTTGAAGGGTATAGACCAGTGGTATTCAACCTGGGGTATGCGAAGACATCTTAAAGGGTACGTGAAATTTAAAAAAAAAAAAAATTAGATCCCGCCTGAGATTATCCTCCCATCTACGTCTAGGTCTCCCCAGCAGTCTCTTCCCCTCAGGCTTCTCAACCAATACCCGGTGCACACCTCTTGTCCCATCCATGCGCGCTACATGCCCCGTCCATCTCATTCTTCTCAACTTAATCACCCTGACAATACTTGTGGAGGAGTACAGATTTTTAAGCTCATCATTATGCCCCATCTTCTCTCTTAGGCCCAAATATCCTCCTCAACACCCTATTCTCAAACACCTGCAATGTGTGTTCCTCCCTCTGAGTGAGAGACCATGTTTTGAACCCATATAGAACAGGCAAGATTATTGTTTTGTATACTTTAATTTTCAGGTTCTTAGAATTAGACGGGAAGCCAAAATATTTTGAACTGAGAAGTAGCAAGCATTTCCAGAATTAAATCTCCTCCTAACTTCCTCATTTTTATTTGATATTGTTATTCCCAGATATTTGAACTTCGTAACCCTTTCAAAGGACCCTAAGATAATTTTGCCCGCCTGTCTGCTGACGACGAGATACTAACATGTACTTAGTTTTTTCTAAATTTACTTCTAGCCCCACCTGTCTACTAGCCTCTAGTAAAACTTCTGCATTCCTCTTTAATGTATTCATATCGTCCCCCAATAAATTAACATCATCAGCATATGCCAATAGCTGATGTGTCCCATTCAATTGCAAACCCTCCTGCCTATCTTGCACTTTCCTGATAGCATATTCTAGTGCAAAGTTAAAGAGCAAAGATGTAGATTATATACTATGTATAACTTTAATTATACACCAACAACTTTGGGGGTACAAAGTTGAAGATAAATTATATCTGGGGGTATGCAAACAAAAAAGGTTGAATACCACTGGTATAGACCACTTTAGACCTAGGCCTAAATAGGAGTGTTAAAATGGATCTTAGAGAAAAAGTGTGAGTGTGTGTGGATTGAATTCTTTTGTCTCAGGACCACTGCTGGGCTCCTCTTGTGAACACAATAATGAATCTTCAGACTCCGTAAGATAGTAAATTTATTGATTAGCTGAAGTTACAATTTTACATCTCATTCTAGGTATGATAGTATCCAGCACACTGGCATCCATATGGAGTGTTCTTCTGATTGGCATTGATCGTTTCATCTACATTGTGCATGGACTGAAATATCAGCAATGGCTGAATCCTTGTCGAGCTCGATGGCTCATACTTTGCACATGGATTCTTGGTTTAATTATTGGATTCATGCCTGCTATGGGATGGAAAGGTTGGACCAATGGTGGAAAGTACTGCTGGTTTATTAGACTTGCACCACATGGCCTAGTTCTTCTGATTGGAGCTTTAGGGTGCCTTCCTATCATCATCATCACAGTAATGTACACAATAATTCTGTACCATGCCATTAAAAAAGTAATTCAGTTGCAGAAGTCTGACCTTGAAGCTTCAACACATGTACGAAGAAATGATAATCCAAATGCGATGCGAATTTTCCGAGGTGGTCAAAGCAGTACAGAAAGTAGCAAAGATAAGAGGCAACGCTCACCTAAAAAATCAAGGGCTCTTATGGTGGTATTTCTCACAGCTGGATCATTTATTGTCACATGGATACCATATTTCATAGCCTCAGTAATGTATGTCTTTTGTGAGAAATATGCTACAGATGAAAATACATGCAAGTCTTTACGTCTTGCTATTGCATCTCCACTAGCAATTCTGGGATTTATGAACTCACTCTTAAACCCTTTAATCTATGCATGGTGGCACAAGGGATTTAGAACATTTGTGTTCACAAAAATACTTTGTAGGAGGCGGTTGCAGAATCAAGCAAAGAATACATTAACTGTAAGAACTAGGAAAACAACCACATCATATTCCAGTACCAATACAACTGGGACTTCTACTTGCACATCTGATCAATCAAGGCCAACAAGTCAAAAGACAAGTTCAAGAATGATTGAAGGTCCATATATTGGTGATAATGAAGACACACATCTTTAATAAGTCTTCAAATTCTACAAAACTTCAGTTTGTATATTGAGTCATAACATAAAAGTCAAGATGTATGGCTAAGATTTTAAATGCATTTCAAAATATCAACACATTACAGAGATTATCCTACAATCTCTCAGTTTTACCTTCCTTCTGTGTGGGAAAGAAAGTATGTCATTATTCATACTATGTGAGTTGGCTAGTCTGTTTATCTCTTTTCCATACCTGATACCCATCTCTTTTGTACAACTAATGAATAGAGTACATGTCTGTAGAAATTATGTTAACATTTCATTTGGCATACATGTTACAGTATTAACAATAATTTGTTTTTGGCCTTATTTTCTCTCTCATTGGACTTCAGTAAGGTAGAGAAGGAGTTGCATTTCATTTTATATAGTGAATAAGGAAAAGAATAGCAAAATCTGAATTTAAATTTCTCAAAGTCATGATGATTAGACTATATGATTGTGCTGTATTAATCTGTGTAAAAACATTTTGCTTTAATTGGTAATAAAACAGAGTAAAGCAAGTCAAAAGTTCTTTCAAGAATAATACTTTCCATATTTATATGTGTATTATACAGTGTTTCACAAATGGTAAGCCATACATGGGGGGGGGAGTGAATTTTGAGAAAAAAGGTAAACCCTTTGAAGCCAAAGCTCATCTGAAAATAATCACTTTTTATCCTGAGAATCATATATGAAACCCATAAACAGTCTGTAGGCAAAGTGAAATATAGACTGATAAGGTACATGTAATTACCACTGGGCTTTAAAGGGTTAATACACTAGCCCTATTTCTAATTGTTGCAGAGCTGTGGACACAGCACCACAAAGGTCAACGTATTCTTCTAACGTATAAATTATTTGCATATTCATAAGGCTTAAAATCCGAAATTGACACAGTAACGACAATACTCACAAAACATCAGTGGTTTATTGTCTACATTTTCCTTTAAGTCATAACAAAATGAACAACTGTGTTTTCAAAACTGTAAATAAGTGGTTCAATGTACAGCACCAGCACCATACCTAATTTCCTGCTCAAACTGTTCTGCTTTGAGTGTCCCATCAATAGCTTCACAATTAGGATTAAACACAGAGTAAGCACTGATTTCACCCTGCTTTTTTGGACCAGTTCGGGTGTTTTTCCAGATAGCATACAGAATTGATACAATGAGGTACACTGTACCAAATTCTAAATGAATAGCAATGGCATATACAGTTGCCCATAATAAAATGTACAATGTGTACATTGTTACTGTAAATGGGGTGAGTTTTGGACTAGTGATTTCATCTTCTCTGGAGTTACTCTCAATAGATTCAGCATCATCAGTGGTATGTGAGATGAAACTACTGTTGCTGATGTTTCCATCCTAAAAGAGAACAGCCATGAATACCATTATTTTAAGCATCATTCCTATTATTATCATGACTGTAACATGCATACATTAATGTGTTTATATTATTGTAATATTAGTGCAATAAAATGCAACAGGAACTTCCTACATACAAACAAGTGAAACCATGAATCACTTGCCACATTTCATTAGTTTAATTTAGATTTGAGGAGTTGTATTGACTGTTAACAGTTTTTCTATTTTTTTACCAGTATAAAACCTATTAAATTTAATATAGACAGATAATCTGTACAATTAGCAAAATCCCTAGGCAGAAATGTGTGAGTGAACATTGGCTATAATACACCAACATTCTTAGTGCCAAATATCTCAAGGCCAATAGATAGGTACCTAATTAGTTAAAGTAATTGAGCACATAAAAACAAAATTGTACTTTTAGAGGCTGGACACATCACTGTCTTTTCGTGAAAGAAAAGGCTGCCAGCCAGTTCAGGTCATACATGTATACAGTGTACAACATTTTAATTAATTAAAGAATTGTCACTAACAGACACTTTTGCCACAATACCTTTACTTTCTTCCCAGATGTGTAGGCAGTACATTAAATACTTTGAAGTGTAAATAATCTTGATTTAAATACGATAGAGTTTATATCTACTCACACTATATACTGAAGTGCCTCCACTAATCAACCTACATTGTGTAGAAAAGTTTATGGATAATTTAAGAAATGTATGCAAATGCTTAAACAATTACTGTCTCCGATTTATCCAGCTAGAATCATATTTATGATCACTTTATCTGCAAAACTATATAACTTTACATATATGGAATGCAGGGAAAGTTCAATATTATTCTTCTGTGTAATTTTCTTGTATGTGATTTCCACATGAGAACGACTGACAAACGTAAATTGCTGAATGTGATATTACGTTTCGCTGCGATACATTATGTTTTTGAATTATAATGCTTTAAACAATGATATTTGAAATAGGTTACGTTTTATTACAATAATTATTTTTTACGAGCTTTACATCTGAAACGTGGTAAGACACATGTAACCTCTTGTGAAGGTGACAATGAAAATATTCCTGCCTTGTAACCTACATGCTGTTGTGAGCTTAATGTCACCATATTATACAAGGATTGCTTCACTGTTGCCATACGCTTGCGAGCTCTGTATTCAGCAAGTTTACCCTCCATTATACGTTCTACTTCAGATTACATCAAAACTGTAAAAAGATGTCCACCGCATTGCTTGCACAGAGGCGAAAGCAACCTGCCGCTGCAAACTGGCATGGAGAATGAATGCATGTTTATATAAAAATTGCGTTCAATTGACCAATGGGATTGCAAGACATTTTGTTTCTCAGCTCAGGTACTACAACTAACTACAAGACAAGGACGCGTAACATACATACATCTTTATTACATTCCATGTATCCATAAGTTAGTAAGATGACAATAGGATGTAGTATAAGTCATAATAATACAATACATGTTATACAAATACAAGTCATACTATTATATAAATGTCACAAAAATACAAACAAAGGGTTCACTTAAAGTAGAGATAAGTTACAAATAAATCCACCCATTATATACAATACATAAATTATGACTTGCTTGTAAACATTAGAAATTCATCGACAGAGTAAAATGAGTGTGTAATTAAGTATCTTTTTAATGCTAGTTTAAATTGTGCCTTTTTATTTACAAGACTTGTGAGATTTGATGGTAGACTGTTGAAAATTTTGATCCCTGCATAATATGCACTCTTCTGAAAACATGAGAGGTTGGCAATTGCTCTATGAAGCGGATTTTTATTCCTTGTGTTGACACTGTATATAGCAGAATTAGTTTGAAAATGTTCTTGGTTATTTATAATAAGTTCATTAATGAGAATACGTATTCACATGGAAGAGCTAAGATTTCTAATCTCTTAAATAGACTTCTACATGAATTCCTAGGTTTGACACCAGCCAACACATCATAATACCAACTTAAATTCTAACACAGTTGATATTAATCTAGGGATGTAACAACCGTTTAGTTACAAAATCGTAGAGATGTATAGTTATGTCTTATGATTATTGAGCTATCATTCATAATTACTGCTTATAATATACATTTTTTTGTACATGTAATTTTCTCAAACCGGAGGACTGAGTACTTTCAGTGCTGATTTATATGTACACAAATGGTGTAAGACCACTTGGACACATTTAATCGATTTGGAACTTTCCTGTGTGGTTCGAGCGGAGTATATCACTCAAACGTCATTACATTTTACACCAATTGTAGGTTTGTTTATTTATTTGTGGTTTATTTAACGATTGTACCAGTAGATTGGAAACATGAACTTTGTGTCTGGTTGATTATGAAATAGTGATCACTTTTTCTGTGAAGTTGTTCTCAGTCTTGCTCCCATTGTTAAGCTTAGTAATTCTTAAATTTGCAGTATATAGAAGCTAGCTGCACACCGCTTAAATACGTATTAATTTCTGTGCACATAACCGCATACCTTCTCCCTACTATGTCAAGGCCGAACAGAAAAAATAGATCATTCATTGGTACTGACAGAATTATTCATTTAATTTGTCCACTGTCTAAGCAGAATTTAGATGTACGAGGTTTAATTCACAAACAGAAATTATTCTATCGTCCACGATGAATGAAAATCTCATACATCTTCTCGTCGTTTGTGAAAACATCAAAATAATGTTTCAATAGAAAGAACACGTGAAAGTGGCTAACAAAATTGATGGGAAGAGTGTCAGTTATTAATAAGCAGCTCATGTTTGTGCCCATACTGGAGAGATTAAAAGCTACAGACTGTCACAAAATGACAATTGATCAAATATTTTCCTTCCTTATCAAACAGGTGTAGTCAGAATTTAAGAGGTTGATATGATGTGACTTCAGGGTGCATGACATGCCTTAAACAGTGGCTGTTTGCAGTTCTGTTTTCCAAAATAAGGAAATTGGTTAACATTTTTACCATTTTGTTGGTAGTTAAAAAAATTGTGATCAGGTTGCTTTATGAATCATCCATTTTTGCATATCCCCTTATGACAAGAAGCCTGTGTGGTGATGAGCTTTCATGTGTGACAATCCTTTTTGTTTGCAGGTAGAATAGAACATTCAGAGTGCTTCCTGTTTTATATTTCACAGTGCTTTGACATTGTAAACAGTTCTGTTGAAGGAACTTCAATCTGACATGGCAGCAAGTTGAGATGTGCAACAACTTGATGCATTTAAACAACAGATTTTGTGAAATTTCTGGCAATTAATATTGTGGTTGTGCTGTGTCATCTGGTATGTGAAGTGTTTGTTGTTGGAGTGAGCAGTGACCTAAGCAGTAAACTATGCTGGAAAGTGAACCAAATGTAAGTTATATTTCTCACTTTGGATTATAGAGGTCTTATGTTTAACAATGTAATTTGTTTATGACTGAATATGCTTTATATACTGTTGTCAGCTTTCATTTTGTAACAGCTATATATTAGATGTATTTAAGTGTCAATAAAACTCCCAGTATTAGAAACATAAAGAGATGTTTCTGCTTCAGGTATAATTATGAATGTTTTGTGTACTCTCTAATTGAGGATGTTGGCACATCCACCAATCTGAAATAGTATTTTCTTTTTCTGTCTTTCTCTTTTATGGTTTAAGATTCCTAGTTTTTGCCATAAAATATATGGAGGTGAATTTTTTTATCTCTGAGATGGTCGCAGCTTCTTGTCCACCTTTAGGAACTGCAGCATAAGATGAAGCAACCCTTGGATAACCATTTAACAAAGGTGAATTTAATCTTCAACATTGCAGTTGGAAGGTCTCTAGATCAAACTTGGAACTAAGAAACCTGAAGTTTTATGATTTCTGTCTGGTGAATATTTTGGGAATACTCCAAGTAAACCACAGCTGCTATAACTTCTATCCATTCAGATGCTATATTTTATTTGTTCTACCACCCACCATTTAAGACTACCAGGTAGCCCCGTCAGTATAGTGACTATTGCTTAGCATAAAGAATGTATCTCTATTGAAAGTTAATGTTCACAATAATTTTTGACTGATTTAAAAATATGTAAATTTCATAGAAGAAACTTTTATGTCTTTCTTGAAACTAATTTTTAGTGGAAGAATATAAATGTGATTTTGTTTCAGACTATTCATTTGGTTACTATGTCAGCTACTGAAAACATGGCTAGTCATCAGGCGGATAACAGTCAGAACTACATCACAGTAATACCAGTGGAATATCCCAGGAGTAGGGTTTATTCTCAACCACCAGGGGAGTACTTGGTGGATCGTTACAGGTGATTACAGCAACACTATGATAGGTTTATGCATACTGAATTACAGTATACAATAACTTATCAGTTCTCAGTATTCATTATGATCAGTATAAATAAAGGTTACAAATCCTGTTCAGTTGATTTACATAAATTAAAGCATACAGCAGTAAGAACAGTAACCATTTTAGGGAGGGCTGCAGCTTATCTTTGAGACAATGTTATTAAGAATGTAAAATTTTTGCAACAAGGATTTAGAAAATAATTTTCTAACAAGTATGAATATATAGGGCAATTCTTAATTATGTACAATGTATGATTTGAAGCATTCACAGCAACTGAACTCAGTAAAATACTCTCAGCAATCAGCCAGAACCAGGGACAGAGATGGTTCCCATAACATCAGTCTCATCTTTTATCCAGTTGACACAGCTGATTGCCTTAGAGGATTTTATTGGGTGCGTACAACAAATATAAGGATTGTGTTCTACTCCTACAATGAAGCCACAAAGTTCCTTTAAACATATGGTCACACCATTTTGTTAGCAAGATATGGAAAAATTGCATACCAGGAATTCTTGGTGTCACAAGTCTCAGTTATTTATTTAAAGTAATATAGAATATTTTCAGCAAGTTCTGTAAACATTAATATTCTTTTGTGTTAAAACTAATAAGTAAATGCATTCATAAAATATGCTACTTGTCTCTTAGTTAATTCCTTTTATTCCTCTTGGGAACATAGAGCTGATATAAAGCTCCTCCATCTCACTCAGTTGTTGGCAAGTGCCTTTATTTCCTTCCAACTTTTCCTCTGTGATCTTGCTTCTACGTTAACAGGTAAAGATTCTGAAAGTTTGCCACAATTTTCCCTCATAGTGCATATATTCCAGAATCCTATTCTTGTTCTTTTTTTCATGCTTAGGGTCGTCAACAGAGAATCTGGTCGGCATTGCTTTATATCAGTTTCTTTCATATTAGAGATATAAGGCAGTGTGGGTTATGAGCCCCTCAGCTGCCCGAGCCTTGTGGAGGGGCTGTCTCCTTTGGCCCCCAGGCTGGCTGAACTGCTTCTTTGCTTGCCCCTTCTCCTCAGACCTTACCAGCATGGGTGGCCCTACCAGGAACATACGTTCCGGCCGGCATCACTCTTTGGGTCTTTAGGGGACTGAACCCTCCCACCAACGTTAAGGTCGTGCAGTCCCTAGGGAGGGATGATTTCTTAATGCTTCCTGTTTTTGCTAACAATATCTTTCTGTTTACAGAATATTTGTAAAGTGTTTACAGAAGTTTTCTAAAATGCTGACTGTAATTTTGAATGCATAACTGAACCCTGTGATGCCAAGATTTCCTGGTGTATAATGTTAGCATATTTTGATAACAAAGCAGTTTAAATCATATGTTTATATGAATTGTTATCTTGATTTTAGAAGTAGAACATGATCTTTATATTTATTGTATGTAATATAAGAATCACCTTGTATAACAAATCCCCTTCAAAGCTTTTCCTTATTAGCCACTGCTGATAAGGACTACCATAGTCTAACACACTAATCATTAGTGAGGAATGAGAGTTGTGGAATTTTTTATTTCTAGAACAGTCCTCACAATGTAAGTTATTATGTGTCCTCTCCTTGCTATATCAGTGTAAAGCAGCCTCTACTGCTTGAGAAGGTGAGGCTTGTATTTTCTGACTGACTAGTGGTGAATAGTGTGGTCTAACTAACAGCACACTGTTAGACCACTAAAACTGGAGGAACATAAAGAAATGTTTTACTGTATAACATAGCAGCATATTATTGTTGTTAAAGTACCTTGGCATTGTGGTGCGATTTTTGGGGGGGGGGATTAGTAATGTATTTGTGCATGACCTGACTTCTGTACCATGATTTGCCACTAATTTATTTTAAAATAAATGGTTTGGTTGCGTGTATGAGGTTAGGAAGGTCACATGTATAATAAATTATACATTAAAATTCCTATTTAATGTTCTTGGAGTCAGTAGATTTGAAGAGTAGACTGATGAAAGCTGTAAATTGAGAAATGCTTTGATTGATAATGGGAAACCATAAATCAAGGAACACTTAAGTGATAATTCCATTGTACTTCAAAAACAGCAAATAATATTATACTGTTTGTTTTATTTTTTAGTTTCTGCAGTACAGCTAAGTTTGTATGTAAGCAAATAATGCTGTTATCATTCCATGAATCTGTTCTCTTATCAATATTTTAAATCTTAACAAGGGAGGCAAGTCAGTTTCTCTGACAAGACTTCTTTTGGTACTTGGATTTTGTTATAATGCTGCACATTGTTTTGTTCAGAATTGGAGCTGTTCTAACTTTGTGGTGCTGTAATTCCAGTTAGCAGATCATAGATTTGCGATCTGTGCTTTATGGTACAGTTCCATTTTGTCCATTTGTTTTAGCTTTATTTTAATGCATAATAATTTCAGTGATTATCTGCGTGATCGTACTCATGAGGAATACATACGCGGGGACTACAACATCAACTCCGAGCCTCAGTTTGATGAGGTGGGTCCCCTGTACACTGTGTCTCAACGGTTTGAAAGGAACAAGTCTCATCTTGGAAATGCTGTGGGATATGGAACTATAGGACATAATGGGGACAGGGACTGGAATAGATCATTACACTCTCACACATCCGGTTTGTCAAACACCACACAGCAGTCTAAAGATAATGATTCAGCTGAGTTGCAGACTGATGGTCAGCAGTCAACTCAGATATTGACATCCAAGTGTAAGTGTATATTTAAATAAATTCTATCTAGTTGAATACAGAGGTCCTATACACTATAATTTGAACTTTTGGGATCTCTGTCTTTTTGATCCATCTAAAAATATCTTAGTGTTGTTTGTGCTGTCCTATTACATTGATCTATGAATACATCTGGACATTTAGTAACATGTCAGGACATGTTCCTGTGCATTGGGGTTTATCTGGGAAATGAAGTTAGTCTTGATATTTTTTTTACACCTCAGATATTGTTATTTCAGCACTGAAGATATGTGTTTACCTAATGTCACAAGTGGTGTTGCATATGGATTTGGAGGATGGAGTGAACATCACAGTGCAAGAACTAACACAGTCTATTCTGCAGGAAGAGGAATTGGGTCTGCCAAGGATTGCAGCCAGCATCTTTACGCTTTGGATGTGCTCTAGCCTACTGGGTAAAACTTTTATAACCCCAACCACACAATACAAGACGTCTGATAACCTGTTCAGTGTTCTTTCCTTCAATGGTTACTTAATATGTCTAATTTTTCATACTGTACAAATTTCTATTGAATCCTGACCTTTAATGTCCAAAAGTCTGGAAATGCAAATGTCAGTTCATTCCAGAGTTACATTTCATTTCATTTAATTTCCTCTACCCTTTAAGCCATGGGCCGTGATAGCTCAGTCAGTATAGTGACTAGCTACGGGCTGGACGACCGGGGTTCGTTCCCCGACGGGGGCAGAGAATTTTTCCTCTAGCCTCTGCATCCAGACCGGCTCTGGGGCCCACCCAGCCTCCTCTACAATGGATACCGGGGGTCCTTTCCCGGGGGTAAAGCCGGCCGGGGCGTGACGCTGACCACTCACCCCCATCTAATGCCGAGGTCAAGGAAGAGAGGAGCTATACCTCCACTCACCCCAAACGCCTACATGGCATATAGTGGGACAAACTTTACTTTACTTTTACCCTTTAAGCCATGTTATTATTATTATTTAGTGTTCTGTCTGATGACAGGTCCATTATTCTGCCCAAAAAGAGTTTGCCAGTTTTCCCTATTCTCAGCTTCTCGTTTTAAATCCTGAAACTTCATCTTCTTTCCTTGTTTAAGATCGTTGGTTAGCTGTATCAGTCTTCTTCCCAGTCCTCGCTTTCCTTCAACCTGGCCTTCAATGATATCACTCAGTAATCCATTCCTTAAGCCATGATGGCAGTTTAAAAGAAATAGTAATGTAAGTATATCTATAGTATTAGAACTTGAAGTTTGACACTGAGACAAAAATGTATCATTGAACCCTGTCATGAACAAGTCATTTCTGAACCACTTTACCATAAGAAATTTTTCTTCCCAGTCTAAGTTTTTTATGTTATATCTTTCCAAGAAGTATACTGTAATTAAGATTTTATGTTTTCATTTGTGTTCAGATTGTATGAATGTAAGTTAATAGAAGTCTTCAGTCTTTTTAAGTTCATGCATCTAGTTTCATGATTTCTTTCCCCACCTGTCTCTCTCTCTGATCTTTCCTTTTTCTTTACTGCTCCTTCCTCTTCCTTACTTTCCTTCCTCTTATTCCTCCTCTACTTGTAATGAAATGTGCACTTTGATTTTGAAGGATTTATTTGATTTGTATACTGTTATTTCAGAACTGCAGCTAAAGCCCCACCATAAACCATATGAAATTTGTCACAAATGGCGAACATTAGTTTTCCAGTACAGCACTGGATCAGAGTCTCATATAGAGAGGGATGAGCCAGTCCTCTCTTTTCAACGAAATATTTTTTTCTCAAAGAGAGAAGAAGAAAAGATAAAGTTAGTATGTTCTAACATATTTTTTTACTTTATATATAGCTGAGTATTCCTACAAAATGTGTGATTGTGATTATACAGTATGTAGTTCTATTTTATTTAATAGTGTTGGATTAGAGAAGGATTATGAAATGGATGTGTTTTTATAATAATACCATTAAAGTTACAACCTTAGTAAAATTCTGAATTCCCCAGTATGGACTAAAATTATATTCAATCAATAAAGTGTAGTAAAATTCACCATTATAAATTTTAATAAAAATTTGTTAAACTTGACTGATGTTTCTTAAAGTGGACAAAAATTAATGCTTGAACAAATAAAGGTTGCAAACAGGTATATACGACCTAGAGAGAGAGAGAGAGTGTGAGTGTTTGCAAGTGTGCTTGTAGTTTTTCCAAATTTATGAGAGTCAAGGAGCATCAGTTTAATGTATTTCATTTTTTGGAGAATAAGTCTTCATTGTGACAAAGTATTGTAATATAATTAATTTAGATAGGATACATTTTAGAGATTTTATTCATATCTTCATAGACTAAACCAATTTATATAAATCTTCCATTATATATTTATGCATTGTATTTGCTTTTCAGATGTCATATCATCCTTCATAATGTTTTTATTTTTATTATAACTACACATTAAGACAAAATAATACAATTTATTGTTTGGCCATAAAGAATTGTGAAATGGTGCATTCAGATATGAAGTTCTGTGTTTTCAGAAGAAACCTGCCTTGAAAGACTTATTCCTATTACTTCAAATTGTCATTATAATGTTTACATCTGTTCCTCAATTTTTGAAGCTTTTTTTGTTTGCATAATGTGATTTTATGAACTGACTGGTGTGACAGGTATGCTGAAAGGATTATATATCATATTTTTGGTGTTTTGTGAAGAAGAAAGGACTGACCTATTTGTAGGACACATCCATTTTTACACTAAAACTTCTTAATAAAAAGCATAACTTCTGCATTTATAAATATAGTGTTTGAAGACATGGAAGATCATAAGAGATTAAAAGTATACATTGTTCCTGTTCTTTGATATTACAGGGATCAGAAGTTGCTGGACCTGCTTTATGAAGAAGCAAGATACAATATTCTGGAAGGCCGATACCCATGTGAAGTATCGCATTATATCATGTTGGGTGGCATTCAAGCTCGTATTGAATTGGGTCCATACAATCCACAGGTTCATACTACACAGTTCTTTAGGTATGGTTACCTGTATATATGAATATTTAGGGTATTTGCATGTGAGTAGGACAGCAGCCTAGGAAAACTGTCCCACAGAAAGAAGGAAGAGCATGCTAAGAAACTGAGGAAGGGCTGTGGGAAGACGTAGATAGGAGGTAGGAAAGCTAGATAGGCTTAAAGACAGACAGACTGACAGAAGCCTGATTGTCAAATGACACACATAAAGTGAAAATATTGTAGGAGGAAGAAGAAAATTGTAGATTGCCATCATGTGTAGTTCACACTGTATATATGTTGCAAAATTTTATACTTTTAATTTTCCATAAACATAAGTGTTGCTTTTGCATTATGGTATGCATCACCATTCTGCACATTTCTAATTTGGCATAATTTACTTCCCAAATTGTTCTCAAAAATTGTCTTGTTCAGTTTTCATACTTACTTTTTAACTACAGTAATGCCTGTAATGTATATGTGGTCAGTATGTGACCTTTTCACATTGTCTGAGTCATTGAATTTGCAGAAGAAAACTGTACCATATTAACGGAAAGAAGGGTCGACTAGAATCTATTACTCAAGATAGTGTGAGTGGGATAATCACTCTGACGTTTGAAATTTTTTCATGGTACTGTTCCAGAGTTTTCCTATGTGGAACAAATTATGTAAAACTTACATTGTAAATAGCTGAGCTTAATTAAAGTGTCATAGCTAAGTGAAGTCAGGATGATTTGAAAAAAATATATTATTTTGAGGGTGAACTTGACAATTTTTAATCATAAATGTTAAGACAATGGTATTCAACCTTTTTTGTTCGCGTACCCCCAGATATAATTTCTCTTCAACTTTGTACCCCCAAAGTTGTTGGTGTATAATTCAAGTTATACATAGTATATAATCTACATCTAAAATAAATTAAATAAATTACATTACTGATTATTCAGTGTTTATCATAAAATAATATATATATTTTTTTTAAATTTCACGTACCCCCTAAGATGTCTTCGCGTACCCCCAGATATAATTTCTCTTCAATTTTGTACCCCCAAAGTTGTTGGTATATAATTCAAGTTATACATAGTATATAATCTACATCTAAAATAAATTAAATAAATTACATTACTGATTATTCAGTGTTTATCATAAAATAATATATATATTTTTTAAATTTCACGTACCCCCTAAGATGTCTTCGCGTACCCCCAGATATAATTTCTCTTCAACTTTGTACCCCCAAAGTTGTTGGTGTATAATTCAAGTTATACATAGTATATAATCTACATCTGAAATAAATTAAATAAATTACATTCAAAATAATGTATTAAATCTGGCCCTGATTATTCAGTGCTTATCATAAAATAATATTTTTTCTAAATTTCACATACCACCTAAGATGTCTTCGCGTACCCCCGGGGGTACGTGCTACTGTGTTAAGACATGTTTTTGGAAATGTGACTAAATACAGATAGTTTCACATGTCTTTAATGTAGGATGCTGTTCACTGTTCTTGTTTATCTTATGAGTAATAACTATGGAAAGGCAACTTAACTCTTGGTTGCCATGTTGACTTGGTGCATCCAACATTAAGGATAGTGTGTATTGCTTTGTGTGGTTTCATTTCCATTGCTACCACCTGTATGGTGTTATTGTGAGCTTCTATTTTCCCACATTGAGCAGTAATGTAGTACATTTCTTCTATAATATGATGAAACCAAAGTTTATATTTGTTTTAATAATACTCTATTTCCTGTTGAACTAGTTATTGCCCTACTCTATAAACATAGTAGCCTTCCAGATTGTTGTGTGATTTTCTCACATGGTGAGGCATCATGCCAGATGAGTATATTAACAGCTGAATTCTTATGTCTAAATTACACCCAAATATAATTATTTGTATCTCTGTGTAAAGTGGCATCAGCATTATACCCTTCTGGCTTGACATACATCATACTATTTTATATTAGACAATATGTATCTGATTATGAAAATATATTGATACACCCTTCTGGCACGATGCTCCCGATCACATAAAACTTTTTTAGTTTCTTGTTCTGCGTATATATTTGCAAAATAGCATAGAACACACACTTAGTTTTCTGGTGAATTTCTCAGGGAACAGCAGTGTAAATTTCTACCAGTACATATGAGTCGCAGCACATGGTCATGGCTTCGAATCAGTGGGAAAAATTCACCTGAAGTACGACTCCTTGAGCAGTTTAAGAGGATACCCACCAGCACACCAGTCAGAAAACTTGTTCGCAAGTATCTGGAGTTCTGCTGGTCTCTGCCATACTATGGGTGAATTGAGTTACTGGAGTCATTTTTCATAGGCATAGGGTCATAATTCTTACCATTTAGTGTGTCATTCATGCACTCTTATTTTTATAGTAGAAAGCAAACTCTTGTATTCATTTGGCAATAAAAATTACCTTCATCAGTGTACAGAAGACAAGTGAATATAAGAATATTGATACATCAGCTAATGGGGTTTGAAACATAACACTCACCAATTTGCTTACAATAGAATTTCTGCTTGTTGCACTGACAGATGTTACTTTCTGTAATGATTATTATGAAATACGCGTACAGTTATATGAAAAATTGATATACAAGTAGACAAGTATAAAACAAGATATAATAGAACTTTGTAGGTATGTGCAATATGGAGCACAGGAAATAGCAATAGCTATGGATAAATACTTTGGGAAATGTCAGTTATTATCTGTTCAGCATTTGCTTTGTAGGGGATCGGATTATTCAGTCATTGTAGCCAGATTGTAGACTGTAGATTAGATTATGTAGACTGTACCAAGAAGCTGCCAGTCTGAGTAAACAAACCTGAAGTCTAGAATGATAGTGAGGGTGCACTTCATATCTCAGAACTAAAAGATAGGTCTTGTAACTGTAGTAAACGCTGATAAGTTTTTATGAAATTCGTAGGTATGAAGATGGCTCCCTTCTGGTTTGTAGCTCCATGTAATCTAGTAGATTCTACAAGACTACATGGCACTACAAACCAGAAGACGTCCATCATACTTGCTGCTGTGAAAACAGGAGATCATATTTGTAGATGTAAGTTTATCTTAACCATGCATATAAATGCCTATACCCTTGTTTGTTTAACATGGCAACAATTTTCATGAGTATAGAACTGAATTAAAAAGTTGTCAGTGGAACCACGGTTCCGGAGAATTTGATGTAATTACGTCTATACGGAGAGGTGGTACAGCGCTTACTCAGTCTCAGCCTTGGCACTAGATAGGAGTGAGTGGTCAGTATCACGTCCCATCTGTGCTTTACCCCCTAGGAAATGAACCCTGGTACCCATTGGACAGGATGCTGGGTGAACCTCAGAACTGGTCTGGATGCAGAAACTAGAAGAAAATCCTCTGCCTCTGTTGGGGACCAAACCCATAGTTAGTTACTATACTGACTGAGCTACCCAGCTCATTCTGTGACAACTATTGACTTCTTATGTATGTAACTTGTGTTACTGTTTGCAGTAATTTTGAAAGCCTCAATTTTTTTATGACATTCCACTCTGAAAAATACTTGGAATTGAGAGGATTGAAGTTAGTGAGGAATTTAATGATTTATGAATGTCACCTTATAGTGTTACAGTAGTAAAATCAGGTAGTTATGATATGTAAGTGCAGTGTGGGAATCAGAAATCATAAACAGTTTTGGTTGGGGAAGCCTCTTAGAAAATTATTGTTTGAAAGACTAATAAGGTAGTCAGGAATAACATTTAAATGGAGCTTAGACAACTGCATTTTCAGGATGTAGATAGAACTTGACTCAGCATCATATCCAGTGGTGTACCTTCATGTTAAAAATGTTTAACTTGTGTATTGCACTACCAAAGAGTTAATTTATTCCACGTTGTAGAAGTGCTGGAGGGAATTATAAAAAGAGGAAGAGGGTAGCATCATTTTGTATTTACTTTATAATTCAACCCATGATGATCTTTATCAGATTTAATTTGTGACGTATATTATTTCAAGAATAATACCTCCTATCTGTATCCAGTTTTGAAAGTCAGGTCTTTTGCCCTTTCAAATAATAAGAAAAAATATTAGGACAATATTGACATGGAGTTTTTTCTTATACAATTTTGAAACAAATATTCATCATATTTTGCCATACATGAGTTCATTCCCAAGCACAGCTGAGAAGTCTGAGAGGATGAATGTGATAGTCTGTTTAATATTTTATTAAATTTGAAAACTCAGCTCCAAACTTAAGGTATATGTTGAAGATTACTAACTTCAAATTATTTGTTTTACCTTTAACTAAAGAACGTTAATGTTTTGTAGGTTTTAACAGTGGCCGTAGCTGCTGTAGTTACATGCATTGACATGTTACACATCAGTTTCTTAATGTATATTTATGAGCTGTTAATATATTTGTAAATAATACTCATTATTTGTATTTTTTGTTGTCTCAAGTATTGTAGCAGATGCATAATTGTGTGAGATGCTAGAATTGCTCATTCACCTCTAATATGTTATTTTATTTATTTTCAATTCAAGGGGAGCATTCTTCCAAGGACAAGTGGAACAACCAGTACGTGGTCTCACTTCCCTTATCACGCATCAGGATGTACCAGTGTTGATAGCAATAAATGCCCAAGGAATATATGTTATTGATGCTATTCAGTGTGTAAGTCAGTTCTCAGTTTTATAAGGCCCAGTGGTAGTGATATGTATCAACTTCTTTAATGATCATTAACTGTGCATTTTTCCCACGGGATGTATTTATGGGGTTTTTATGATTCTCAGAGTAAACAGCATTTATTTAAACAGCATCAACCAGTCATTCTTTATGATGGTGAAGTGTTTTCTTTGAGGTAGGAACTGAATTTTCAAATACTATTAAAATGATAGTCAGCTTCAAAGGGTTAAGGACAGTATCATTATCTTATACTTTGTTCTTGTTACTTCCCATTAATATTACTTGTAAAATTTCCATTGTATGAGTCTTTGTAATAATGACAACACAGTATATGGATATTTATTCCTAGAGTTAGTTCCAGTGAAAATGATACTATACTTATGGTTATTGAAATGGTTGTTTTGTAATCTCATGAATATGATTCCATTCAGTTTTTCTTCAATCTTTTATGGGTCAATCACAACTATGTGTACCACCTGATACTTGTAACAGTGATTTGTTGTGTTTTCTTGAATGATAGGAACCAAATTTATAAATTTTATTAAAATGAGCTGTCATTTTAAGGGTTAAAGAACCCAGGTTTAAATCCATGTGCATTTAATAATGAGGTAGGTAACATAGCGTACTGTTCATGTCTTTGAGATTTGAATAGACATATGTGGAGAAGTGATTTTAATTCTTATCCAAAAATTTAAGAATGCTTGCCACTATGCCCCGTAAATGTTGAAGGAAAGCAGAATTATCAGTTTTTTATGTAGACTGGATTGTGCAGAAATTGCTATGATTTGTAGGCGATGAGTTTACTGCAAGACTTTGAAGACCCATTTTATACAAGACTTTCTCAAAGATCCCATTTATTCCACTGGGTTTTAAAGCTAGTATATGCCAAAACCGTGACTTAAAATTACAAGGATCAGTCTCAAAATTGTGATTTAAATTTTTTATTTTATACAGTTTATAAGAGACATATGTGAAAGTTACATTAATTGGATGTAGTCCTAGCAGTTTTCTTCCAGTGTTGAACAAGAGCATGAATTTTTGATTATATTTAATATTTTGGTTGTTTTAGTTGAGAGAAGTTCAGAACTTCAAACTGCTGTCATATTTGTAAGATTTGAGGTTTTCACAGCGGTGAGTATGAAGATTTCTGTCTTCTGGGTTGTTGCGCTGTGTAGACTGGTCGATGGTCATATTTGTTAAGCATCTCTTAGTTTTCCTAGATGTCTGTTCTTACATACAGTAAGGTGTGAATGTGAAATATGATGTTCTTGTGTGCATTTTAGACACTGTTACTGGGGTTGAAATATGAAGAATTATCATGGGATTTTGCAAAACCATCTCAAGAAAATAATCCAGATTGCTTGCCATGCCTCTTCCTGCAGTTTATGGTGCTTGAGAATGGTACAAGAGTGTCAAAAATTCTCCAGGTGTTTTCCAAACAGGTACTGTCTCTGAAAATTGTCAGTTGCTGAGGATTAGACATAGCATATGTTAATATAGTTGTCCCAACATATGCAACTTTGACTTACATGAGTTTTGTATAACATGATTTTATATTGAACGTAAATTACGTAAAAGAAGGGAAAGGAAGTGGATTCATGACTTTAATGAGTCGTGTGCTCAACATGGTGCGTACGTTTTAGCGCGCGACTTGTTAAACGATCCCGTGAAATTCCAGTCTTATTATCGAAAGTCCCCAGAATCCTATAAGGAACTTCCTCAGAGAGTTTCTCAACCGTCTGCACTATCTTAATATTTGTTTACTCTGCACTCATGTCGATAACGTACGCGGGTGCTGTTACTTGAGTACTGATGTCTTAGTCCTGACGCACAGAAAAGGAACATGCCGAGTCTCGCTGCACGTGTCTGCAGCATGAAGCTGACGTCAGCATCATGACTCAGACCGGTGTGCGGCGGTTTTCATAATCTCATTTGTTTCAACTGTGCTCCTTTCTTTGCGTCATGTTGTGGACATCGTGTCTTGACTGTTACATGCCTTGATGCATGCCGGTGTGCGGCCTACCTTATAGGTTCACATATTCTCCTCAACGCTCTCTTTTCATATACCCTCAATCTTGCGTTTCACTTTTTAGTAAGAGGCTAGCAAAGCAACAGGCATGGTGAGTTTTATGTATTATAATCTACAAGCTTCCAGAGAGAACATGAGTAAATACAGGGTCTGGCAGAGGAATCTGATGTTTTTGGATTGGTTAAAACTGCAGGCAGATGGAGTCAGGCTTCACACGGAAGGTGGGATCTTACTCGACACATTATGCCATTTCAGTAGCCATGGAGCAATGGAATGCAGCTCACCGTGCGTTTGTCATAGAGAATTTTTTTAAAAGTGGTGATTCAGTTGTTAAAACGCAATGAGCGTTTAGATTGCATTTTAATGTCGGGCGACATGGGAGAGTTCCTACTCGAAACACCATATTATTGTGGGTAGAAAACTTTAGAGCCACCAGTTCTTCATTGAAAAGGAAACCGCCCCAGAGGAGTAAGGACAGTCCGCACACCGGAAAACATCGAGGCCATTAGACAGGCGATAGGGAGAAGCCCTCGTCGTTCGGCGTTGAGACATGCTGCTGCTCTGCGCATTACGGATCGAAGTGTGAGGAGAATTCTGCATTTCGATCTGAACTTTCATCCTTACAAAATGATGGTTGTCCAGCAGTTAAAGCCAACTGATTGGGAAAAACGTCAAACTTTCGCTGAAGCCATGCTCGAAATGTTAGATGACGACCTGGTTGTTCTTATGAGTGACGAAGCGTATTTTCACCTATCTGGTTGTGTTAATAAACAGAATTTTCGATATTGGTCGCAACAGAATCCAAGACAACTTCATGAACGTCCCCTTCATTCTGAACGTGTTACCGTGTGGTCTGGGGTGGCCAATTTTGGCATAATTGGTCTGAATTTTTTTGAAGAAAATGGACATGTGGTAACTGTTAATTCTGAACGTTACATTGCCATGTTGCGTGACTTCCTCTTGCCAGAACTTCGCATTAACCCCAGACGAATTTTGTTCCAACAAGATGGGGCGACTGCCCATACGTCAAGGGCTTCGATGGAGGTTCTAAGACAAATGTTTCCCTAGCACCTCATTTCTCACCGCGGAGACATACCGTGGCCGCCTCATTCACCTGACCTTTCGCCGTGTGATTATTTTCTATGGGGTTACCTCAAAGGAAAGGTTTACATAAACAAACCACACACTACCCAGGAATTAAAAGATGCAATTCGTCAGGAAGTTCAGGCGATTCCACGAGATATGGTTCAGCGTGCAATGCAGAACTTCACTAACAGACTGCAAGAATGTGTTCGCAGAAATAGTCATCATTTGGAGGACGTCATTTTTAAATCCAACAATTAACTTTCTAAATTTGGTTTTTATCGGATCATAAATGGCACCTATTTCTCTTTGAGTAAAAAAATAAATTTTTGTTTTTTATCAAACTACAACTTTGTATTAACATTTCAAAAACCATCAAGTTCCCCTGCTGGACCCTGTACAAGACTCCAGACTGCATTATAACATGCACTTCACAAGTTTATTGTAATTTAAATATAACCTATATTCTCTTAATTCTGTAGTTACTGTCACTGGTGAACTGTTCTTTTTGACATTTATAATTCTATATCTGATATCCTTTCCATACTGAATAAACTTTTCATTTTTGCACCCATTCTGAAGTCTCTTGAAGACATGCTGGTTGCTTGGATCTCTTTATAGCAAGGCCTCTACATAAAATGGGAAATCATTCCAAATTTAAATGAATATAATTAATATATTGTTACAGGAAACTACTGATTGTTGATGTGCAGAATATCTGTGCACAACTTTTTCCCCCTAAAAGCAGTTGTTTGTGTTCTAAGATTTAGACATCTTTCTGTGCTTGCTTCATGGTGTGGGGTTTGTTTTGGGAGGGTTTACGAGGAAACTAACATTGTTGGATGCTACATACATTGTATCTCAGGCATGGTAATCTGTGAATCTAAGAATGCTGGTTTGATCATGGAAGAAACTTCTTTCAGATCTAAAAGATGATTATTTGCAGGATTTTGTAAATTAAATCAGCAAGTACAAAATTCTTGATGTGTGTGTACTATGAGAAATTTTGAAAATATTGATGAAGTTAATGTTAAAGAATTGCTACAAAGTGATGTGTGTGAACTGGGTTTCTACCACATGATAGACAGAAAGACATTTTTAAAGCTGCTGCAAAAAAAGTATGGAGAAAAAGAGGGCAGGGAAAATGAGATTGAAATTCATATTGCCATGAGGAGTTATAAAGATATCACAAAAAGAAATGTTCATTACAAACTGTTTCTCAAAATAAATGTCAGTTGTATAAAAAATGTTATTTCAGGAGATCTGTAAATGCACCAAACAAAATATTTTGGATTATCCATGTTTTTAAATTATTCATGTTTCTCCCCCCCTTTACTAGCCCAGATAATTGAGAGTTTACTGTATGTTCTACTTCAGGCTGTGATGATGGATACTCTGATATCAGCATTTGTAGAAGAATTGAAACAGAAAACAGTTGTCTACATTGATGAAACAGACCGACCCGTATATGACACATCAACAGATAGTGATGGTAAGAAATTGCTTCAGTGAAAATGTTATTTTATTATTTACCTGTATAATGAAGAGTAGTTAAAAAAATACATTACAGCTCTTTCCTTACCTGCAGATACACAAGTGCCACTGACAATGGTGAATCGCCGAGAGCTGCCACAGTCTTGTCTAAGTAATAAGTTGAGTAAACTCACACTTGCTACCTTTGATGATGATGGTATGTAATACATTATTGTTTTTATTTATCTTAATGTTTTTAAGTAGTGCAGATATCATAAGAGTTGTGCAAGTTAAATAAATATGTTTGTCTAAAGAAACTGAAGTAACAAATGTTTGCCATATTTTTGTACTCTTTTGCTTTTGTATGCTGAGCTTGGGGATGGGTCATCATTTAAAACATTGTTGGTAAGACCTGATTGTGTTTGGAGAGCCTCAAATTTTTAAATACAAATTTTTGTGGTTTTATATATCTTTTTTAATATGAACATTATTTTGGATACCCCTAGACCTGAAACTTAACACAAATTTTGGTTTAGAATGACAATCTATATTGCTTATCACATAGTATTTAAGCATCCATATAAACTATAATGAATATTTGGAAATCTAACTCTGAATAAAAAATATATCATGGGGTGCAATCTGACTCCATACCTATTGTACATTATGTATGCACATTGATTCTCCTTTGTAACATTTTAGTGTTATAATAGTATCCCTTGTAATTTTAGCAGCAGTTACATGAGAATTTATTTCATTAGTGTTTTTTGTATTATTTGACTAATGTTGAGGCATCTAAGTACTTCATACACAATATGGCCAGAGCTGAAGTATGTTAAATTTACACAGGAGTGATAGTAGTGGTTTCTCTTGCAATAAAATAGTTATATTTGGAACAGAATGGAAAGTAATACAAAACTACCACATTATTAGTTAAACACTTTATTTGACTCATTCCTCATAATCAGATATTTTCTTCTATTTGAACTTCAAAGACTTTGACAGTAACCCCTATATTCCCTATTTTATATGTATTGCTATAAATAATTGAAAATTTGTGTTTGTATTAGAAGCAGTTACCCAGTTTGAATTGTCTTAGTACATAAAATTGAGAATATTTACAAGATTAGGTAATATGATATACTATCACAGCCTTTTCTTCTTTTGATTCTTAGAATTTTCATAGAAAGTTGTGATTTGATTAGACAGATGTAACTAACTCACTCCCTGGTAGCAGAACCCACACCATCCCCCAGCAAATTGACATCAACAGCATAGGCAAGTACCTGGTGCACGCCATTCAATTCAAGCCCTTCCTGATTCCCTCTGACGTTCCTGATGACATGTTCTAGAGCAAAATTAAAAAGGAGGATAAAGCATCTCCCTGTTTTAGGCCATTGTGCACTGGGAAGGGATCTGACAGGAGGTTACCTATACAATCTCTGCTAGATACCCTGTCCATACACATCTTAATTAACCTAACAAATTCTTTTGGTATTCCAAACTCAATCAAAATGCCATACAGTGCCTCTCTTCTGAGTCATATGCCTTCCTAATGTGAACTGAGCCATTATATTCCTCTTTCTCTAATATTTGTCAAATGCAAAAGATCTGATCAGTAGTTGACCTGTTATGGCAGAATCCACATTGATCGTCCCCAATAGTTTCATTCATAAAGGACATTAACCTTGCCAGAAGAATATTCGATAAAATTTTGTATGACATCGACAAAAGAGAGATGCCTCGGAAGTTACTGCACTCAATTTTGTCCTGATTCTTTCCACTGTTGTGGTAGTACTTCCTGGTTCCAAATTGAGACTGTAAGCTATCATCTGCATGGATTAGTTCCACTGGAATTGAGTCAGTGCCTGGAGATTTATAGCATTTTAATTTCCCAATGACAATTTAAACTTTATTAAGGCTTGGTTCTGGGAAGAAGGGCTCCTCTGTATGTACTTCAGGCTCTTTCAATTGATCAGCTACATGAACATTTAGTAACTTACTAGAGTAATCCTTCCATCTATCTACAATGCCATGTGAGTCTGCGAGCAGATCCCCATTCTCGTCCTTGATCATATGTGTCCCAGGTTTGTACCCCTTCTTAAATTTACTTATGCCTCTATACAACTCTCTGATGTTTTTATTTTTGCTGTTAGTTTCCAGCTCCCCTATCTGATCTTTTAGATACTCCCTCTTCTTATTCCTCAAAGTACTGCTGGTTTCTCGCCTTACACTGATATCTTTCCCTGCAGCCTGCAGCCATTGCAATCTAACCTTCTTCCATCTTACCAAGATAGAGCATTCTTCATCAAACCATGCTTTGTTTGCGAAATTTTATGATATTAGAAAGATGTGTGGTAGCATAAACTTAATTTTCCTCGTTTACGAGGTGCGATCGGAAAGTTTCAAGACTGCGCCTATAAAAACCCGTACACTTATCTCAGGTATTAAATTCATCCATCACCCTCGAAATAGTTCCCCTGGGAGTGAACACAATGATCCCAGCGCCGCTGCCAAGCCTGGAAGCATCCCTGGAAATCTTTCTTTGTCAGCCTGTCAAGCACCATCTGCGATTCTGCCTGAATCTCTTCTATCGTCTCAAATCTCCTTCCCTTTAGCTGAATTTTCATCTTTGGGAAGAGGAAGAAGTCACACGGAGCTTAGAAAGGAAGCTGGGGTCGGTTCTTGCAAGATCTTTAAACTCCTGACAAACGAGAAGTCGATTCTGCTTCTAGTCCTCTGACAGGATGCGTCGCATGTGGAGTTCTTCCTTTAGAATCAGCTAACAGGTCCCATAGCCTATCCCAACAATGTCGCACAAATCGTTGATGGTACGACGTCGATCTTCGTAACAGTTTCGGGCGTTGTGCTCGAAGATGGTCGGCCAGAACGCTCGTCATCATCGACAGAGGTTCGGCCATTTTTAAAACGTGAATGCCACACAAAAGTTTGTGCACGACCCATTGAGGACTCCCCAAATGCTTGCTTTAGCATTTCATAGGTTTCCGTAGCCGTTTTGGCGAGTCTTTGGCAAAATTTGATGCACACGCCATTCCGAAAGCGCAGGAGGGTCGGTGTAATGCACTACCAAAACGCCCATAACTGGAATTCATGCCATTATGTTAAATGTTTCCCATGAAAGGCACAAAAATATTGTACCAGGTTTTTGGTCAGACTAGAAGCTCCAGACATGCTGGTCTTTGTCATGCATATTTGAATACTTGTGAAGCTGTTTCCTGTACAGCAGCAAAGAAAATGAGTAGGTCTATTAGTTTTCAGTAATGTAGGTCTGTTTTTTAAAAATCAAGTGCACAGAAATCAGTTTTCATGGTGCTTATTCTTTCTTTTCTCTTGTATGTATAGAGAATTCATTGACATGAAGTCCATTTTTTGCGTACTTCAATGGGAGGTCACTACAAATCGAAAATAAAAAATAATTATTTGTGCTACTTTTAACATTAAAGGGGTTATGGACATTCAAAGTTGTTAAAGCAAGTATTTATAAATGTGAGAAGCTAACAATGTGCAGACAGTTTGTCACGTGTTTGGCAGCAGTACTGAGCAGGCTTTACTTAATACTGGAGCTACACTAATATAACATGCTGTTGATATTTTCAATATGTATGTATATTCTAACAAAGAGTAGGCAGATATCCATTTTGATTATGGATTCTGTAATGGGTATGCAGTGACACTTTTCCAAGAATATCAGAGATGATTCCAGAATTGACAAACACTTGAATGGTGTTTCCATGCATGCACAGGTATTTATAACAAAAAGATTATTTTTTAACCAGTGACTGAGTGTTCAGTACCAAAATTGTTGACAAGGAAGTGGTCATACTCAAGACTGTCAACAGTAGTCCAGCCACCAGTGTTTGGAGAACATTTCATCACAGCCACATTCTTTGGATGAGTGTGTGGAAAACTCTTAACTATCATGGTTGCTATCTGTTTCATTGGCATATTGTTCAAGCCAGAAGATTACCCTGCATGTATGGAATTCTGTGGCTGGATCATTAAAAAATAATCAGCTTATTCCTCTTTCTCTCTTTCTCCCAATCAGACAATGTTCACAAGGGATGGAATAACAAAACATAAATTCCCACTTATGGACTGTGGAGAATCCAAATTAAACAATGGAGACTCATTTTTGCTTCTGAATTTCTATAAATTTCTTTTGTGAGATTATTGTTGATAGACTTATTGGACCATTTGTGTTTGAACACTGCTTAACTACATATAGATACCTAACTTGAAGACCACCTGCCAGAACTCTGGGAGATGTGTTGCTCGAGTCACACAAGGTATGTACTTTCAGTACAGTTGTGCACCAACACACTTTGCAAGATGTGTGAGACAGTGTTTCAACCAGCAGCTTGAAGATTGCTGGATTGGCCAGGGAGGGTCATAAGCCTGGCCACCAAAGTGATCATTTATAACACCTTTGAAGTATTACATATGGTGACATATGAAAAGAGAAGGTGATGTAATAAATTATTTCTTCAGCAAAATCTGTAAAACAGTTCACAGTAAACTTGCTTTTGCTGCTTGTTTTTACCAACATCTTCAAATGTCTGTAACTCCTTCATTATTGAGAATGAGTACTGTTTATTTTCATCCTGTGATGACCTCCCCACATCATGGGGCATTCTGTAATTTTAGGGAAACATGAAAAAGGATTCATTTAATGAAAATGTAATTGGTGATGCACCTGATTGCTGCATGCATTTGTGGCTACCATGGAAAATTACATCATCACTGATCTCTCTTATCATGAGGCTGTGTGTGAAGATTTACTCTTTGCAAAATTTTAATTTTATGATCCTTCTTCCTTTTCGAATGTTATTTTAACTTTTTATATGAGGCTGCTACTGTAACTAGTGTATTATGCATTGTATTGTTTATGGATTTGGAGGCATGTTAGTGTCAGTAGCTGTTTGTGCCTGCATACTGTTTATTTTATAACAGTTGTGTCACATTCATCATACATAATATCCACCCATCTTTATTACATTCCATGGATCCACAAGTTAGTCAGATGACAATAGCATGTGAAGTAAGTCATAATACAATACATACTATTATACATATTACAAGTACAATTCATACTATTGTAAAATTTCACATACACACAAAGGGTTCACATAATTAGTGATATGTTATAAATTCATCCACCCATTACATACAGCAGATAAATTATACTACCCACATATATTGTATGAAGGCAAAAAAATCTTAATGAATGTTTTGACTTATTTGTGAACATTACAAATTCATCAGTAGTGCAAAATGATTGTTTAATTAAGTACTTTTTTATTTAGAGGACTTGTAAGACTTGATGATAAACTGTTGAAAATTTGTAGCCTCTTTGATAACATTATTGAGGATTTTACAGTATGTAATATGAAATGCTGTTGTGTTTGGGTCATTGCTGTTCCTGCTATGAATATACAGACTCCTTTTACATTTGCAAGATATTTTTATTCCTTGTGTAAGCTAGTTATTCTTTATTTTCCCCATATTTTTATATTTAATTGGAAAGCTAGCTTCTGAGATATTTAGAAAAGTATACTAAAAATGAGTTACTTTGTTAGTATCATTGTTTTTATAAACAATTTCTCATGTTTCACCCTTTAGAGGAAGCTGAAACTTGTTCTCTGCTTCGAAGGCATTAAGTTACCTGCTGCAACAATATTAATAATCATAAGATAATGGGCATCATTGTCAGATAAGGCTATTCATTATGGGAGAAATAGAAGATGAACTAGATTACATTATCCATAAACATCATTTGCTGTAGTGGAGTCATTTTGAATTTTTGTTGCAAAATTTACAGTTTGTATCAAATCATATGTTGTTAGCAATGAGTTTATTTGTTATTTTGACTGTTTTCATTGAGATAGTCTATATTTATGTCATCACAGATTAAGAATTCAGTTTTTGGATTGTACAGATACTTTAAAAGATTTCTGTCTTCTGTGTTGTTGCTCTGTCGCCCTGATGATGGAGGCAGTATGACCTCTGAAACGTTGATTAACATCAACCAGACTACACAGCGCAACAACCCAGAATACAGAAATCTTCATACTCATCGCTGTGAAATCCTCAAATCTTACAGATACTTTAAAGTATAATAGCATCTAATCCCCTAAGACATGTATTTAAATCACCTGACAGAGTTCTGTACAAGTTTATTGTAATTCTTAACACAAAGTAGAAATCCTTGGAGGGTTCTCATATGATTTCATAAGTAATGCAAAATCTTCCTTATCATGCATTCCATTACCGTAGAATTTATTTGCCTGTTTTTTTAATTGATCAGTTTGTTGTAATTAAATACCTCACTCAAATTGACAACTCTCTTTCTTAACAGTTTATACACCATATGATGTCTGAAATGTTCTTCAGCAGCAGCTATATCTGTGAGCATCTTAAGCACATTTAATAGTTCAGGCCTTGGCATATTGTGGGTTGTTTGTCAAGCTTCGTAAATTTGGTGTACCAGTTCTTTTAAAAATTGATTGCTTGAACATAGAATGAACAAACCTTCACCAGTTTAATCCCAAAACTAAATCAGCGTATGCTGATCCTCTTTTGGTGGTGGGAATTTGATTAACCATGATTCATAACCTTTCCTAAGTCTAAAACATCTGATGTCCCAGCCAGTTCTGCTAATAGACAGCATGAGATCAAACAGTACACCGGAATGGCACACTCTGATGGTTTTATTTAACCTTTCTCTAGCATTACAACGATTGGCAATTACAAAAGGACAAGGCCTGGTACTTTTGCTTACCTCACTTGAAATAACACAAAGATAGGCTATTCCTAGTATGCTTGTATGCACAGTTTTGAAGTAGAATCAATCCTGTCCTCATCCTGGTAACAGTCATCCTCATTCCTAATAGTTATTGTTGGTGTTTTCTTTATTTTTGCAGATCATTCGTTAGCAGACTGTGTGTCTAACTACTAGTGCATGAAAAAGTGGCTTACTGTCCACTCTGTAGATGCATTTGCACATTGTAATTGGAAGCACATATCTATATAATTGCAGCCAAACAGGTTAGTTTTTGTGGATTGTAAAGTGTAACTTACAGGATGTTTTATTTCTTATTAACACTTTAAAGTGTGTATAACTTCTTTATTACTGAACACGGTTATATGGACCTTTCACAGATTGTTCTAGACACTTGGGAAATTTGTTACACTCAAACATTTTCTGTCATGTGCCCAAAGATCACAAAATTTATGCAAACGAAGAACAAATTTGTTCAGAACCTTGGTTAGAGTTTCTATACAAATGGCTTCAATCTCTGATTGTATGGCAGTTTTCATTTTACGTATGGAATTATGTGTGGATTTTTCTGAAACACCCTATCCTTCAAATTCCCCCATAGAAAATAATCACAAGGGTGTAAGTCTGGTGAGGTTGGTGGAATCTTTCCTCATATAGCGTTGGATACTGGTTTAACAGGACTCTGTCCTTAGAAATGTCATGAAAAAAGCAAAGTAGGGCATTACTGGTTTGAGGGCTGGCATGATCTTTTTGACACCAGACCAAATTCATTTGAATGCCATATCAAGTCAGGAAAGAGATAGATTAATCACTCAGCAGACTGAGGTAAACATCGGTGAATACAGGACCAAATATTCTGATGCATGATAATGTACACCATACTGTAACTCTCAGGATGCATTGGGTTGGCAGCAGTAAGCTTTGGATTCCCTGAGATCAAAAATCAGACATTTTGCTTGTTAATGTTGCCATCTAAGTGGAAGTGTACTTTATTGGAGAACCATGTGACATTCAAGACACCTGGATTGTGCTCCTTACTCGTGTCACAAGTGTGTAATGTCTCACTATTCCATCTTCTGACACTGGGTGACTCAGCTGTATTTTATACAGAAACAGTGTCATATCATTACAACAGATTTTCTACACATTGCTGGTTAAGACATTAATCTGTTGTACTAAACAATGCACACATTTCCTTGAACTTCATATGATTGCCTCTTGTGCTGTAGAGACAACTTTTTCCATGAATGGATGCACTACATTTAAACCCATTTGCATGTTTATTACACACTTCCTGTTTCTTCAAACAGTTTAATAATTTGGTACATAGTGTTTCTCCACAGCAACACAACTACCACCAGAAGACTGAAAGGTTTTTATTCAATGCCACCGTGTTACTCGGTTCAGTGTTGACAACAGTAACATATGAATTTACCAATTGTGCACGAAGATCTGTGAAAGTTAAATAAAACTGTGTTCAATAACAAAGTAGTTATACAAATTTTAAAGTGTCAAATGATAAAACATCCTGTATGGTATAGCATTTAAATTTTTTTATAATGCTCTGTATTTCAGATCTGTAACATTGCATATGTAAGTAGATTCAGCATATCTGAAATTTCTTTTTCAGGACACTGCATTGGTCAGATGGGATCTTGGTCCTTCAGTTATTGAGTACACATTTGGATATATATAAGGATGTTCTAGAGTACCAAATACTGCAGAAATCATGCAGTATGACCACCGGTGGTATTCACAGAAACTAGTATGTATTCCACATTGTTATACATTCTTTCCAGTGCACCATAAGTATGAGCCCTAGTTTAAAAATTGGCAGTCCTTTATTGTTGTTTTATTGTATTTAATTCTGAGTTCCTTGAATATTTTGTTAGTTGATTCAAGTGACAGTTAAACATGTTGAGAACTGAACATATTTAAGGTTAGTGTCCAGAATTAACACAAATTTAAGGTGTTGTATCCGTTAACCAACTGTAAGAACTCAGTTTCTGCCACCAGAATCCTTGTTATATATTCCTTTTAATTGTCCGTGCTATACTGCCATACGACACCACTGGCACTGCTATGTTTTATAGAACTTCATCTTTGTTTCTTACCTTGGTTTTAATTTAAAATGTTTTTATAGTGTTGCATAGAAATTTAAATCTGTGGCATTTATTATACACAGTCATCTTGTTCCTAAGTTATAGCCTTCATCTCTTCAGATAAAATGTTTTTACTTTTTCTGTTGGTTGGTTGTCAATAACAATTTTACTGCTAATTAGAAGCCTACACCTGAGTGCCATTTGATGTTTTGTATGGATATTTTCAGATTGTAATGCTTTCTGTAACTGTTGTTCATTTTCAATTACTAACTCATCCTCTGTGAACAGTGTATTAAGAGGAATGTTTATGCTTAACCATAAGTTATTCTTAATCTAAGATTTCCATTTTCCAGGAGTGTCATCAATGTATGTAATAAATAAGGTCTGGGACAGAGAGGACCCTTGCCTTACTCTGTTCATTCAATTTACTTATATAGTTTATCACAAATCTAATACACTTGTTTATGAGCATAACATATTTAAAACTTGTGTAATGTGTAATGGGTGTCCTCATTTTTGTAATATTTTCCAGAGATTATTCAAAATATTCCCAACCTGACCATTGCCAAAACCGGTCTCTGCTGGATTTGGTCTCTGTACGATCCAGTCTATGACAGTCCATCTCTGAAGAGACCGATTGAGGCAGAGACCGGGTGAGGAAAGACCGAGTCTGGCAGAGACCGAGTGTAGCAGAGACAGGTTCTGTTGTGGATCGAGTAGGGAAAATTGTGAAAAAATTCAGAATTTTCAAAAAATCAAAAAATGCTGCAAATACTCTAAAAAGCTTACAGAACCACAAATTTTCGATTTTTTAAATTTGGAATATTTCAAATTCTGTTAGTTTTGGACAATTTCCAGCCTTTTTGATTTTTCGAAAATTTTGAATTTTTTTCCATATTCTGCCAACCCGAGCACTCCCAGAACCGGCCTCTGCCGTACCCTGTCTCAGACGCACCCGACATCTGCACGATCCAGTCTCTAAAGAGACAGGTTGAGGCAGAAGCCGAGTCCGACAGAGAAAGTATGAGGCATAGACTGAGCCCGGCAGAGACCAAGTGTAGCAGACAAGTTATGGATCAGGTACGGAAATTATTTTTAAAAAAATTCAAAATTTTCGAAAAATAAAAAAATGTTGCAAATTGTTTAAAAAGCGCACAAAACTACATCTTTTTTAATTTGGAATTTTTCAGATTTCTTTTGTTTTGTACGCTTTTTGGACAATTTCCAGAATTTTTTATTGTTTGAAAATTTTTAAGTGTTTGAAATATTATTTTTCAAATTTCTCCCGACCCTACCTCTGCCAAAACCGGTCTCTGCCATACCTTGTCTACGACGCACCCGGTCTCTGCTTGATTCGGTCTCTGCACAAAGCATTCTCTGAAGAGACCGGTAGAGGCAGAGACCGAATCCGACAGACAGTGAGGCATAGACAGAGTACGGCAGAGACCGGGTGAGGACGCGACCGAGTGTGGCACAGAACAGTTCTGGTGGGGATGTGGTATGGGAATTTTTGAAAACATTTTTGAATTTTGAATTTTTTTAGTTCTGTGCAAGTTTTGTACAACTTCCAGCATTTTTTAATTCTTTCAAAATTCTCCCAACCAGACCCCAGCCGGACCCGGTCTCTGCCGTACCTTGTCTCTGAAGCACACGGTATCTGCACGATCCGGTCTCTGTATGATGCAGTCTCTACGGGCCGTCTGCAAAAACGGTGAGGCAGAGACAGTCCGACAGAGCCCGTGCCAGGCAGACACCGCGTTGGGCACAGACTGAGTCCTGCAGAGAACGTGCGAGCCAGAGGCCGGGTGAGGCACAGACCGATTCACACCGGTCCACAGTTTGTTGCTTCAATTGTGGTGAAGAATCGGAGAGATATGAAGTATTCTCTGTCCTATCACTGCCTCTCCCCAGTTCCAGTAATGAGTGTTCACTCGATGTGAGTTTTAAACCTTGATTACATTACAATTACAATACAAGGTACTATTCAAAAGTATTTGGACCCATTTTGGAGTTGCACGAGAAACAATGGTATTCAGTTTTGCTAATAGGTGATAATATTGCACTTTTATAATCAGTTCTGCACCGATCTCGCTCGTCTACTTTGCTTCAGTGTGATTTTACATCCCTTCAAATGTGACCATGTTGGATGTTATGACTTCTGCGTTTTACTAGGATGGCACATTTAAAAGAACAATGAATTTGCAACAGAATGACTTGACCCTCCTTTCAGAGGTCATTACAGGAGATGAGACGTGGATTTATGACTACGATGCAGCAGCATTCCTATCGGTGGAAAAGCATTTTATCTCCATTCCCAAAGAAGGCCACACAGGATTGCTTGGATGTCAAGAGCATGTTGATCATATTTTTTTAAATCAACAGGATTGTTCAATAGATTTGTGGCATGTAAAAGGTCCTTACAAGTATGAAGAAGGTGCTTGGTGACCAAATACTGTGGCCATGTTCGTCACCTATGTCTCTTCTGCTGCGCTACCAGATGACTGGCAGTTGAATCAGGCCAAAGGCACAGTACTTGAAAGTTAGAAGAAGAAGAGGATTGTTCACCATTAATTTATCTACAGTGTCTATAGGAGGCATATGGGGCTCAGACATCCACAAAAATGGTGCACTGATGACTGGTTGCCCGAAGAAAGTTGGAAATCTTCTTTGGTGGAAGACCAGCAGACTTGATGTTGTGCCTGGCCAGCAGCCTGCTGCATTGCTGGAAATCTACCAGACAGCAATCTTCACACTCACCGCTGTGAAAACCTCAAATCCTACATTTATTAACTTTCTCACAAACATTCCATCATATAAATAATTGGTGTATGACAAAATATAAATATAACTAAAACTTATCTCTTATAATATTGTAAACCAGGGGTCGTCAACCTTTTTATACCTACCGCCCACTTTTGTATCTTTTGGTGGTAAAATTTCCTTACTGCCCACCGGTGCCGCACATATTGCCCACCACCATGAAAGAGGTACAGCTCAAAGACTGAGTGATGGCCGGTGGTAAGCCCCGCCCTCGTTATGCGCACTGAGCTCATTCGTTGCTCCCTCGTCCACGAGTATACTTCGAGAAGTGTCCGGTGAATTATTATCTATATTCAAATTTTAGAGATGGAATTCAAAAGTAAATTGCAAAAGCATATTTTAAAAAGTCAAACTCGCTAAGTTGTTAGCAATGTATTCGATATACGGAGAAAGAACAAAATTTGTAACAACGGACAAAAAACCCCACCGCCCACCATGAGAGCTTGAATCGCCCACTAGTGGGCGGTACGGACCAGGTTGACGACCCCTGTTGTAAACATTTAATCAAATACATGGATAAATAACCTATGACAATGCAGTGTGATCATCTTTACAATAGTAGTTGAATCTGCAATAAGAGATTTATGTTTTCCAAACATGATCAAAACAAACGAAGTATACAAAATAGCAAAGAACACTGGATGCTACATTCTATCAAACAGCAAAACAACTACGTGTGTTATGCAACACTAGCATACTCTATTTATTAGCAACAATCTCTTGTAATATTTAATTCAAGGACTGCAATAATGCATTCCCACAGTGTGGACAATTTTTTAAAAATTATGCGTAGCTCAAGTAATAGTGTTTGCATGACAATATGACCTCCCTCGCTTAACTTACATAACATTTAAAATTCACATTTCACTTCAATTTGTACCGTCAGGTATTTATGAAGCAAGGCCATAAGAACAGTGAGAAATTCACTTACCCAAGTCTTGAGAAGTCACCTGTCC